CCGCGTCGCCGTTGTTGTAGAGCCGCTGCCGGATGACGCGCCGCGGGCCATGGGCTCCCCCGGCAAGTTCGGCGCCGACTGCCGGGTGCCACGGCGGCATCGCGGGCGGGCCAGGAGGCGCCGGAGGCCGAGGGCCCGTGCGAGGCACCGCCCCCAGTCCAGGGCCAGCGGCCCGAACCCAGGGGCGCATTGTGTCCCTGGCGGCTGCCCGCCGCCGCGCTCGGCGAGGGCGCGCGCGACGGCGTCGCGGCGCCCGCCCGTCGTCGCCGCCCAGGCCGCTGTCGCTGCAGACGCGGCGGAATTCCGCGAAATCCGCCCACGTCGCCATGGCCGACGGGCGGGGGGGAGCGGCCCCGCGCGCAGAGCGGGTGGGGGGCGAGCCGCGCGGGCAGGCGAGCCTAAGCCTTGAGCCTGGCGCGTGGCCTTTGAGCCAAACTGGGTCTTCATGAAATCGTTGATTCGAATATGTGTTCATGAAATCGTTGATTGCGCGCATATGCTATATGTTCGCTGATGGACCATGCCGTGGCCGTGCGGGCGTGCGAACGAATCCATCGGGAAATCTGATCCCAAATTCTCGGAGCCAGGGATGCCCCAGGGTTGCCTGCTAGGTAGTCCCACCAGCCCTTTGGGCGCGAGTGGTTATGGGAGCTCTCTCTGTTCTCAACCCCCCTTCTTCCCCTTCGGGGAGGGGTTTACCCCTCCCCCTACCCCCTCCCCCTGGACCTGGAGAGGGGGTTTCGCGGGTGGTTGGAGGGGTCTTTTTCGACTCCTGGGAGGGCTAAAAAACGACTACGCTCACGAGGATTCTGGCGGCCCCGACGGGGGGAGGGAGATAGGCCCCTCTGCTCTTCTTTGAAATCAAGAACATTGATTTTACTACGGTTTTGGCCCCATTTTGGCCTCCTGAGGGGGCCGCGCTCATCTGCCTTCATAGCAAAATCATTGATTTGACAAAAGGTTTTGGGCTCATTTTGTCCTTCTCAGGGGGCAGCGCTCATTTCCGCTTCTGAGGAGGTCGCAAGAGGCCCCAAGATGGCCCCAAGAGGCCCCCAGGAAGCTCCCAAGAGGCCTCCAAGAGGCCACCAAGAGGCCCCCAAGAGGCCCCAAGAGGCCCCCAAGAAGCCAAGAGGCTCCCAAGAGGCCCCAAGAGGCCCCCAAGAGGCCCCCAAGAGGCCCCCAAGAGGCCCCAAGAGGCCCCAAGAGGCCCCCAAGAGGCCCCCAAGAGGCCCCCAAGAGGCCCCCAAGAGGCCCCAAGAGGCTCCAAGAGGCCCCCAAGAGGCCCCACGAGGAGCCCGAACGACTCACACCAGGACGAGGGGCCCGAACGACTCACACCACGAAGAGCCCGAACGACTCACACCACAAGGAGGGGCCCGAACGACTCACACCAGGACGAGGCGCCCGAACGACTCACACCACGAGGAGCCCGAACGACTCACACCAGGACGAGGGGCCCGAACGACCCACACCACGAGGAGCCCGAACGAGTCACACCAGGAGGAAGGGCCCGAACGACTCACACCAGGACGAAGGGCCCGAACAACTCACACCACGAGAAGCCCGAACGACTCACGCCAGGACGAAGAGCCCGAACGACTCAAACCACGACGAAGAGCCCGAACAACTCACACCAAGAAGAAGGGACCGAACGACTCACACCAGGACGAGAGGCCCAGAGATATGCGGGGGCAGGCGGAAACACGCCTGAAAAACACGACTGTCGGCATGCTTCGCAAGAGTTGCTGTTTTGAGATGGGCTGGTGGGGATACGCGAAGCGTGAAGAATTTCACAAGGTTGCCCGCTAGGTGCTTCCACAGCTCGTGAATGATCTTCCTATGACGTTGTTCTTGATAACGTCCCAACGTCTTTCATCGAGGCTGTCATTTTGATTTCACTTGGTCACCGGGTCGACGATGGCAGAGATGTCGACGTATGCCGAGCCAGCGGCTTGCGATGGCGTCATTGGCTTCGGCGATGGTGGTGCCTGTCTTGAGCGCAGTGGCGCGAGAGGCGGGTTTTGGACAAGAGCTCCCTGTCCGTTGTAATAGAACTCGCCGCTGGTCTTCGAGATGCCTCTATTCCAGCCGCGCATGAACAGATAGCCGACGTGAAGGTCTCGGTGTCGACCTGGTAGACCTGGCTGAACTAGTGTTTCGGTTGAGTTCGGGATGCTCCTCCTCCTCCTCACCCTCCTTGACCCAGCCCGAGCGGAAAGCGACGTCTTCCCGCCACCGTGAGCAGCACAACTCGCCGCTTGATCGCCTCAGAAGGCGATGCGCTGGAGCGCGCCGTAGGCTGACTCCATGTGCGGGGAGGGAGGGGCAGGCGGCGCTCTCCCTCCACGGGAAAGCGCATTATCGCCGACCCTTCCGATGCCTCCCCCCCCGCCCGGGTGCCGGCACCCGGGCGTCTCCACCGCCTGGCCCACCCGGGAAAGGAAGCGGTCGACGGGCCAGCCCACGCAGTGGGAGTGGAAAGCGGCCGCGCGGGCCCCAGGCGTGTTGACCCACGCCGGGCCCAGCGCGGCCTTGACCGAAGCCTCGTCCTCGGCGCTCTCAACCACCGCGCCATCAGCAACAGCCGCCGCAGACGCACCCTCCGCGGGCAGTATGACACTCTCCCACTCGCCGCGGAACCCTGCTCCAGGCGACTCACGAGCGGAGGGTGCCGCGGCGGCACCTGTGGGCACCCGGCGCCAGCCGCGGGCAGCGCCAGGGGCGCGGCAGCGGCGGGCGTGTCGACCCACTCGTCCTCGATGGAGCCGTCCGTCCGCATGCCGTCGTCGTCCGCCGTGGCGACCGCCGCACCAGCAGCAGGCGCATCGGCAACTCCTCGAGCAGCACGTAGACGTCGGCGCCATCGCCGACGCGCCGCCTTGGCCGCCGCAGCGGCAGACAGCGCATCAGGTTCGCGACCAGCAACCCCAGGCTCAGCGCCCCGCGCGCCAGGCGGCGCGGTGGCTGTGGAGGCAGCAGCCGCGATCGCCGCGCGCACGACAGTGGCCAAGGAGCGATGCGAGGTCTTGGCCTCGACGGCGGCCCGCACGGCGGCGCCGACCAGCAGGGTGGCGTCGGAGCCAGAAAGCAGCCCCATCCCTCGTGGGAGGCGCGCGCGGCCGACCCCGCGCAAGCACCTCGAGCAAACGGGTACGTGTGCCAAAACCCCACGAGATCACCGAAGGGGTACGTGGGGCTTGAGCCAAAATGGCTACGGACCTCCTCCTCCTTTTCCTCCTCCTCCTCCTCCTCCTCCTCCTCCTCCTCCCCTTCCTCCTTCTCCTCCTGGGCCCCCCTGTCCTCTCCTGTGCCTCATGTGGCTTCCTGTTGCCGCCTGCATCCTCCTGAAGCTTTCTGCAACCTCGTGAGGCTCGCGAAGCCTCCCGGGGGTTCCTCGGGTCTCTGGGGCACTCCTGGGACCTTCCTGGGCCGCACGTGGCCTCCTGATGTTTCCCGATCATGCCTCCTGGTGCCTCCGGGGGCCTCCTAAAGCTTCCTGTTGCTTCCAGAAGCCCCCTAGGGCTTCCTGTGGCCTTCTGGAGCACACAGAGGGTTCCCGCTCGAGATTCCCTCGCAACTCACTCGCAGACGAAGTCACCGCTCAGAGGCATCCTGACAGGTAGTTCAGTCACGAGGCTCTCGCTCGAGACCCCGTCGAGAGTCAAGCTTCTAGGCGCCCCCAAAGAATATGTTGACAGGGTACGCAGATGGCCGCCTAGTAACATGAAGCGGGAGCCGTTTTGGGAGGAATCTCCCGCCCGATACTTCCTCGCATTTTACTCACGGGCGAGCACCCGAGGCATCCCGCTCGAGATTTCTTCGACATTCACGCTCCCAGCTGTGACCAGGCCATTGTGTTTACAAGGTACGCCGATGGCTGTCTCGGATTAAGAGCATGTCGCGGGGGCTCCTTGGGGGGGGGGTTCCTGGTCGATGCGTGTGTGTGTGTGCGTGTGCGCATGGGCGTGGGTTACGGCAGTGCGTGAGTGCGCGAGTGCGGTTGCAATCCTGATGACATTGAGACTCGGAAAGCCTGAAGGTCCTTCAGGGGTGCCACAGTTGCCAATGATGTCATGACGCCATGTTTCAAGGATGCCGAGATGTCAGGATGCAACCTCGACATCAACCCGAGGAGTGAACTTCTGGGACCACGAGCAGTCCGAAGTGCCTTACAGATGGGCCCAACCATTCAAAGCCAGTGCGAAGAATGGCTTTCTAGGAACACGGAGTGCCCGAAGTGGCGTGCAGTCGGCTCTGGACATCAGAATCAATGCCAGGGGTTAAATTCTGGTAGCACGAAAAATCCGAACTGGCCTACATGTGGCTCCGAACGTGCGAGATCACCCCCGGGAGTGGAGCTTTGGGAATGCGAAGGGCCCGTAGCGGCGAACATGCAAATTCAGGCCTGGGAATGGATTCTCTGGGAGCTCGAAAAGCAAGAAGTGGCCTACAGTTGAAACCCGACACTCAAAATCAGTTCTGGGAATGAGTTCGGGCGACTCGGTGATCGCATAAACATATTTTGTTTTACATATTTTCCGATGGTCACCTCGGATAAAACAAAATGAAGCGCTGGCCCCATATGGAAAGCGCTTCCGCCTGAAGCTTGGTCGAATTTCACTAGCAGACAAGGCTCCCGCTGAACACTTCCCCAGACTCAGGCCTCAAGAGGCCCAAAGCCCAAGCCAAGAATGTGATGATGGTGGATGTGATGATGACGGTGATGACTGAAGACGGCGAGGACGCGGGGATATCAATAGAAAACACGAGTCACCCTTGGATGTTGGAAAACACGTGTTCGCACCATGCATGTCATGCTCCCGCTGTGATGACCCGCTGTGATGACATTCGTATAACGTTCGTGGTAGACTCCAGCTGGAAGCATTTCCATCATACGTGATGGCTCGTTTGTCAGGAAGGGAAAAGCAAACTGATGAGGCGCAGGAGCAATATGGGCAAGGCTGCTATAGGCTAAAGACCTAGAACAAAATGTGTCGCACCGCTGGCTCGCGCCGGCCCGAGACGGCGTCCCGCGGCGGCATCACATTGAAGCCCGTCCGCCGACGCTGCATCTGATCCTCTCGCCCGGTGGGGGTTGGGGTGATCTGGCCCAACGCCCCTGCCCCTTTCTAACTTCTGTGTTCTGGAGCGGAAGCAACCTGGAGCGCGAGCTGTCTGGTGATATTCGAAAGAGTGTGATCCCGCCGCTTTACTATGGAAAATGCTCCCCCCCTTCCCCAGGAACCCAAAGGTCAAAGGTACCCCCCCCCTCCGACAATCCCCCCCCCCCCTGGACCCCCCCCCCCCTCCCCCCCGCACAACCCTCCCCTCCCCTAATCCCCCACCCCCTCCCTCCGGAAAGCCGGGGGGGGGTCACTACCGATTCGAGCCCCTCCCCCTCCCAACTCCGGAAAACCAAAGGGGTTCACTACCGGTTCGAACCCCTCCCCCCGCCCCTCCCAGAAAAGAAAACCAAAGAGGGGTCACTACCGGTTCGACCCAAAACCGGGGGGGTCACTACCGGTTCGAACCCCCCCCCCCGAAAACCGGGGGGGGTCACTACCGGTTCGAACCCCCCCCCTCGAAAACCGGGGGGGGTCACTACCGGTTCGAACCCCCCCCCTCGAAAACCGGGGGGCGGTCACTTCCAGTTCGAACCCCTCCCCCCCCACCCCCCACGCTCACCGCCAGCAAACAACTTTGGGTCCCTACCACCGTCCGCACCACATCCCCAACTGCTGTCCCCAGCACCACTGTCCTCACCACCAGTCCCCGCTGTTCCCAACACCGTCACCACTGTCCTCCACAGTGCCCCCACCACTGTCGCACTGTCCCCACTGTCCCCACCACTGTTCCAACCACGGTTCCACTCCCCCCACTTTCTCCACGGTCCCACCCACTGTCCCCACTGTCCCCACTGTCCCACTGTCCCCGCCGCTGTCCCACTGAGCTGTCCCACTGTTCCCACCACTGTCCCCACTGTGTCCCCACCACTGTCCCTACTGTACCTCTGTCCCATTATCCCACCGCCGTCCTCGCCACCGCCCTCACCACTGTCGCCACCACCACTGTACCCTCCACTGTCCCACTGTTTCTACCGCATTCCCACTGTCCCCACACCAGTGTCCCCACCATCACCGTCCCCACCACTGTCCCACTGTCCCCACTGTTCCCACCATTGTCCCCGCTGTCCCCACCAGTGCCCCCACCAGTGTCTCACTGTCCCCACTCTCCCCACCAGTGTCCCACCACGGTCCCGCTCCCCCCACTTTCCCCACGGTCCCCACCACTGTCCCACTGTCCCCAGTGTTCCCACCACTGTCCCACTGTCCCCCCCGCTGTCCCACTGTGCTGTCCCACCGTCCCCACTGTCCCCATCACTGTCCCACTGTCCCCAGTGTCCCCACCACTTTCCCCACTGTACTACTGTCCCACCACTGTCCTCACCACCGCCTTCACCAGTCCCCACCACTGCCGTCCCCACCACTGTCCCGCTGTCCCCTCACCAGTTCCCACCACCACCGTCCCCACCACTGTCCGCACCACTGTCCCACTGGCCCCGCACCGCTGTCCCAACCACCACCGTTCCCACCACTGTCCCAACATCCTCACAATTCTCCAACTGTCCCGAGGAGCGAGCATCGTTTGCCGGCGTCGAAGGGAGGGGGGGGGTTCAAACCGGTAGTGATCTTCCCCCTGGTTTTCGAGGGGTGGTGTTCGAACCAGTAGTGACCCCCTCCCTTTTCATGATGGACTGGGGGGGGGAGGGGGTTCGAACCGGTAGTGACCCCCCCCGACCCCCCCCCGGTTTTCGAAGGGGGGGGGACGGGCTAGGAACCCCCAGTGACCCCCCACGGTTTTCCGCCAGCAGCGGTAGAACACGCTCTTTCTGATATTCGGAGAAGGCGGCTGAGCAGGCAATCTGGTAGGAAGGCGAATTTCCCAACGACACCGAGCCTGGCCATGCTGATGGTGGGCCCGGAATCGACGTTTGTCACCGACCCTGAGCCCTGGGTGGGCACAGCCAGGATCGACGCGGTGCATCGTCTGCATCCTCCAGTATGCGGCTTGAGCTGTCGTCTCGTTTGATTCGCAACGCCGCAGTGTTGGTGGGTCCTCGTTTTGAATTCACAGCGCTGCGCGTCTCCTTTATCACCTCATCTCATACGGACCTGATCCTCCCTGCGCCCACTTCCTGTTTCCACCTCGCCGCGCTCATTTCGGCGCCTACCTCCCGCAGATCGTGCTTTCACAAGGCGCTCCACCTACGGCACCAGCGGGCCGATTTGCATGACGGCACCACGCGCACTTCGGCATGGCTGCCATGGAGCTCCACATCAGGCATCAGCATGCCAATTCGCATGGCTGACATGTTGGCACACCGTTCACGCGGATCGTGCCCCCACAGGGAGTTCAGTTCGCATGGCGACTCCGCGCCCATTCCAGAACACACCTCTCGTGACTCACATAGCGCTCTTCGCACTTACGGCCTCAGCGGGCCAGTTCGCATAAAGGCGCCAGCGCCCATTTCAGACCCGAGCCCAATCCCGCCCGTGGCGCGCAGCATAGAAAGCAAGGGTTACGCGCTGCGCTACACGCATCGGTATCGGGTCGCACGCTTTGCCAAGACAACGCATTTGTTCTCGCGGTCTCCGCGATTCCCTGGGGAGAACCAGCGGGCGCCAGAGACATAACCCCCGCACAGCAAGGCCTCAAACTGCTTCCCCGCGGGGTGTATAGGGGGTTGGCGTTTGGCTGCGTCCGTGGGGCAGAAACAACAACGAGCCCACTTAGGAAGCACGGAAACTCCTGTTTCGACAACCTTCAACCGTCAATCTCGGTGGCCAGAAGCCTGTTCCTGGAAGTGGGCCTTTCGCGAGACAGCGCCGCCTAGGAGAACAACCGTGCAATGATCGAGTCATTGTCTCGAGATCCGGATCCCAAACGCCATGAGCGTCTTGATCGGTTCGCGGCGCCGGGTGCCCCAGAAACGGAGCAATCACCATGGACGAGAGATCGTTGGGTCCGATTCGGCATGGGCGCATCCGCCCTCGTGAGGTAAAACCATGCCTGGTCTCAGCCATCCCAGATACGTTCCCCGCACGATGCCAGCACTGAGCCCGCTGCTGAGGGGGGCACGCTTCCCGCGACTTGTGGGCCGCTTCTCGCGACTTGGGGGCCCGCTTCTCGCGACTTGCCGTGGTGCCGCTCCCGGCCGCCCTCGCGCTGCCAGGGCGGCGGGGGCGCGCTAGACAACGGCGCGCTGCTGAGGGAGGGAGGGGGAAAAGAGGAGGAGGAGGAGGAGGAGGAGGAGGAGGAGGAGGAGGACGGGGGGTCCGTAGCCATTTTGGCTCAAGCCATTTTGGCTCAAGGCATCTCGGCCGAGGGGCTGGCCGATCGATCGATCGCGGATCCGATCAGCTGGGCCCCCCGTCGGCCGAGCCTCGCGCGCCGCCGCGCCGGCGGCGTCGCGGCCGCACTGATGCCATGGATGTTTACTCCTGCGGAGGGCTGCCCGAAGGAGGCGTGGCGGCCCGCCTGGCAGCGCCAGGCAGAAATCAGATCCCCCGGTCCCACGGCAGCCCGCCGCCTCGCTCGCAGGCGGCGCCGCGATGCCATCGAGGCCTGGCTGTGCCATCATCAAGAACAGTGGGACCTGAATCATCGTGACAATGGCACAGCGTCAAAATTGGAACCAGCACCAGCGATCAACGCCGCCGCCAAGCTCACAGAGGTCAAGTACGTCGTGATCGAAGACCCCAGAGGGGGGCGGTCACCAGTACGACGACAAGTACGGCGTCCAGTATGGCGACCAGCACCTCGACCACGACGGAAACCAGCACGGCACTCAGTTCATCCCCGACCAGTACGACGACAGGTACGGAGTCCAGTACGGCGACCAGTACGGCGACCAGTACGGCATCCAGTACGGCGACCATTGCGACGACAGGTACGGCGACCAGCAGCTCGACCAGGACGAGGTCGACGACGCCGAGCCGTCCGAGCAGAACGAGACTTCGGAGGACTCGAACGCGGACGGCGCTGCGACCAGGGCGTGCTGCCAGAGGAAGACAAATATAGAGCCCGTTATCCCTACCCCTATCCGCAGCTCTGGGGTCCGCGCCTGCGAGAAGCGGGAGGCGAAGATAGAACCCCAGGAATACTGCTACAAGGCAGTGGCAGCGGGCAATGGCGCGAGCCTGCGAGAACAGGCGGTGGCGGGCAGTGGTGCGAGCAGTGGTGCAAGCCTGCGAGAACAGGCGGTGGCGGGCAGTGGTGCTAGCAGTGGTGAGAGCCTGCGAGAACAGGCTGCGACGGGCAGTGGTGCGAGCAGTGGCAGCGCAGCCGGCGGCGGGCAGTGGTGCGAGCAGTGGACGGTGGCGGGCGGTGGCGGGCAATGGTGCGGCACTTCTCGGCCCGCCGTCGCCTACCCCACGGCGGCCCTGCTGCACGCGGCAGCGGCGGAGGCCGCGCGCGCAGCCACGGCGCGCCGCAACAACAACCACAAGCAACACCAGAAGGCTCCAGACTACCAGAAGGAGGACTCAGGCGACCAGAAAGAGGACCCAGACAACCAGAAGGAGGACCCAGACGACCAGAGGGACCCAGACGAGCGGGCAGCGGTGCAAGCGGGCAGTGGTGCGACGAGGCAGCGGTGGTGCGAGCGGGCGGGCAGTGGTGCGAGCGGGCAGTGGTGCGTGCGGACGGGCAGTGGTGGTCAGAAGGACGTGCGTGCGGGCAGTGGTGCGCGCGGGCAGTGGTGCGAGCGGGCAGTGGTGCGAGCGGTCGTGGGCAGTGGCGCGTGCAGTGGCAGCCTCTCGACGACGCCCCCCAACGACCCCGCCCGACGCCCCTCGACGACTCTCGACACCCCCACTTCGACACCCCTCGCCGACGCCCCCCGACGACCCCCGACGACGCCCCTTACCGACCCCCCCTTGGTGGCGAAGCTGGAGCCCGACGCCATCAGCTGCAGCGCCGCTATCAGGGCATGTGGCCAGAACACGAGCGCGCGAGAAGTGCCTGATGAACCTGAGCGCGCGCAAAGCGAGAAACATTCGCGGGCATACGTGCGAGA